ATACCAGCACAAATGTATGTTGTTTTCAATTTTAAAGTGTTGAATATAAAAAGGGAGATCCAAGAGATTTTGTCCCATTCGAAATGTCCAACGGAGAAATTTATAACTATAATAATTATGGCGGTATAAGCCAAAAAATACTTTTAAAAATCTCAGCTATGAATATCACTGGTGTGCTTAGCCTAATACTTGGATCCAATTGATGAATTTTACTTTAAAATGGTAAAAAAATGTTTTAAATGAAAGTGAGATAGCTCACTGAATAAGGAATTGTGCTCCAATGTTCAAGATCCAAGAACCTCCATAAATTTTATCGTGGTACGTGTATAAAAATATTCAGGTACACCCATATACAAATTACATATATATATATATATATATATATTCATTAATCCAATCCAGAACAAACCCTATTTTCTGTTTTGTTCTTTGTTAGCGGGGACCAAAAATAATTTATATTGTAAATCCATCTTTTAATTATTTTACGAAAGCATTTAGTAAATTAAAATATTATTTTACCAGCTAAGTAAAAATAATTTTTAACAAAAATAGTATTCATTTCATTTACATTGACTCTCATCCTGGTGTCAACGCACTCTGTTAGTTGTAAAGTTCAAGGAAATAATTAACTATAGTAAATTAGTGCGGATAAATAATAAAAATGCATAGCTAATACTAATGAGAGGGCTGTTAGGATAACGGTAACTATCGGTCACATTTCACCTTCTCGATTTCCTCAGTCCCTAATAATAAGATGCGGGCATGGGTTCTCTGTTATGCGGGGGGACTTTCCATAGCATGATCTTATATAATATCAATTACTATAAAAACGTTATGCACGAGCAATAAAAAAAAAATAAATAACGCAGGAAAAATTATTTCGCTTGATTGTCTAAGAATGGTATAAAATCTTCAAGCGTTACCAGAATTTGGGATCATAATTAGCATTAAACATTATTATATGACAATAAGCCTAGAATGTCACCCTAAGAACAGGATCTGCGTAGCAAGAAAATATTCACCCCGAAAGTAGATGAACTCAAATATCTCAATGACGATCAGAAATAGATAAGCATATAACAATCGAAAATAGAGCTTTCATCACTGTTCCAACGGTATTTAAATCCCAAAAAATCTCAAGCAATGTCAAGTTAAGGGTGTACAATGCTATGATAAAGCCACTTCTGATATACGACAACGAGACCTGAATACTAGCCAACACCCTAGAAAGAAGTGTCAAATGATTTGCGAGAAAAAATTTGCGCAAGATACATAGCAATTTAGGATGAGTTTAATATAGCATTGGGGGAGAAGGACCGGTTAATCAATATCTCATTATATGAAGGCAAGGAAGTAAAGATGCGTGGATCATTTAGCTCGAAGCAATAGATGAGGAAGACTCTACTCTACGATGATGTCTCAATAGTCGACAAGAGATCGAACAGGAGGAAAAAAACCAGATGGTTAGATTGAATAAAAAAAGATGCTGCATACATTAAACTTGAAAGCAGTAGCCCAAGGTAGGAATGAGTGGTGTAGGGTGCTTTAGGCTAGCAAATACCAACAAGATCTAAAAAGTCAACAGAGGGAAAAAAAAAACTTGTTTTCGAAACCTGATTTTTGAATATCTAATACATTAATAAATATTAATTTCGTTATCAATGTTAAGTTTATATATATTTATTTACATATACAAACGTTTGTCGAGAAGTATTTAACAGGTACGGAAGAAGGAAAAAACAATACAAGGGAAGTATCGAACCCTCCTATTTCTTTCTATTTACCGAGAGGTAAAGAAATATTGGAACCACTTGAACGGCGGACTGAATGTAGTCAACCGAACGTAGCAGACAGCAGTAAAAAGCCGACAACGGAACTTAATTGCCACAAAAAAACCTCGCTTTGTCCCATGGCAAGTTATACACAGGGTACCCATTAAAGATTTTACGAGGTATCTTCGATCCTTCGGGACCGTTGCTATTCGTCCGGGGCAGTTCGCGTTCCGGACCTCACCGACCGATGTCGATCGAAAAAATTGATGATATATTTAAAAAATAATCCTTGATTAATGATGATCTAGGATCATTATTAAATTATTAATTTTATTAGATTTATAGGTGGTTTTATTTCCGAATATTATATGTACCAGACTAATTCATACCATAATTACAAACAATAGATATATAAGTTGGCAAAATAAAAAATGAAATTTAAATTATACAACAAAAGGGGATAAAATAAAAACTAAAATAAAAAATGAGAAAGTAAAATTAAAGAAATAATAATGATTAACGTTTATGGTTTACTTTTATAATATTGTTATTGTTAAATTGACCAAATCCCCCGCCCTCACTCCCTGGCCCTGTAAAACCAGAGAGTATAGAAAGAGAAGTTGGTTGGCATTTGCAGTCAATGTAGTACAAAAAACATTTATTTATTAATCTGTGCCAGCGTTTCGGATTAAGTTTTAGGTCTGCTAGGTCCCGATGACTGCTTGTAAAAAAAAATTAGGTGGAATGATTTAAATATTACAATAAAAATAAAAAACGCTACAATTATTCGCAGTATCAGAAGCTTTACAGGAGTTTGAAGGTGCTGGGAAAAAATTGGATCTTAAAATAAATAAAGCAAAGACCCAATATATGGCATCCTCAAAAAGGCGATGCGGTAAGATTAGAATTTATCTGAAGAACAAATTTATGGTGAATTTCACAGATGTTGTAAAAATCTATTTTAAACAGCGGTGTAAACTGTTAGAAAAAGTCTAATCGCAAACCTAAATACAATAAAATAATAATAATATAAATAAAATAAAAAGTAAAATCGAAGTATGCATATTTTTTGTTTAGAGAATATAAAATGCGTATATGAATACATTAGTGGATTAGAAACTATGAAAATAAAAAAAAAAAAATTACGAAATCCGATCCAATCTTAAATATGTTTCAACTTAAAACTAAAAAATTTACATTTAAAACATAAGGACGGTTGACCACTTTTATACCTATATAAATATACTTTTTAAAGAATGGCAATAATTTTTTCAGTATTTATAAATAAGTAACTGTTCCATTCTCTTACCAAATACAGAACCGAATCATTGCAAATATGCAAGGGATATAAAATTCCGCTTGGGAATTCTAAAACAGTAAATACCGTTAAACAGTTAGGACCCTCAGTATTTTAATAATCACTAGTAAGCAGCTATCCATACAGTTAGCTTACCAAAACCAGCGGAGCGATAACGGTTTGGGGTACCTATAAGGTCTCGGGAATTTTCGGACCATCGCTGGTCAAGATAGATGGTCATTTTAATGTCCTGCACAATTTTCGAGGAGGAAAAAAAAATGAGCGAGGAGTATAAGCCGGGGAAAGAAAGGCGCTTAGAGCCTGGCATAACGTTACTGTCACAAGTCCAACATATCCAACAGTCTGTAAAGCTATACTTTAAGCCTCTTTTTTTATATTAAGATAGAAAAATTACTAACGGTATTTAGGCTCAAGGCGATCTCATGTCCAGAGCAGTCACGTAGAGTAAGTAATATAGAAACACACGGCACCAAAATAATTCTTATTTATTCAGTGACCTAGTATTTTTTATTTTTTTTTTTCTATAAAAATCTATTTGCGCCTGTCGACTTATTGTTGACAATCAGCAAATGTGATGGCGATACAGGAAATAATGACATGACAGTCATGGGTAAGGAAAGTACTCAGCAGTACCTCTTCCCTAACTTGTTTCAATTACTTAGGTTGTTTAAAGAAGGAGATCTCTCATCCAACGCCTTTTTAGTCTCCTCCTCATGTTTTGAGGTATGTCAGCTGTATGGAAAATAAATAAAAAATGTCAGTTTTGAATATTTTAGAGTTCAAATATTTCTTTATACTTTTTTTTTTACGTTCGATTATAATATAAAATTTAAACACGTCACAAGTATATGCATATTTACAGTAGAAGTTTATAAAACAATATTAGACTCTTATATTTTAAATTTACAGGTACATTTTACAGTAGTATAGAATAGACAAATAATTAATTTTATTTTGAAATAATTTTTCTGAAGAGTAACATCTGTTAAAAATAAAGATTATTTCTTGATCAAAGACCCTAATTATAAAATAACAAAAAAATAGATTATCTAAAATATTTACATACAAATACAGAATGATTAAGAAAAAAAACTGTTATTAGATGTATTTAAAATAATTAAAGGTCTTTCATTGCTGGTAATAATCAAAAATAGCTAAATATAAACTATAAAAGAATTTTATAATTGGCAAAAGAAGAAAAAGTGAGAAACTTTTTCGATTTTGAAAACATATTTTTGGAAATAGATAGTAGTAATGTATAGGTGAAATATATTGTTAGAAAGTTACACTAACTTTGATAAAACGGGATGGAATCATGTAATATTGTTTACTTTTTTTTTTTTCTTTTTTTTTTTTTGTCCCAGCCCTTTCTCGTCTTTTCAGGCTATACGGGGTTTCCCCAGGCCAGGAGGTGAGGGTGGGAGATTAATGTCAGAGTTCGCTCAGATACCTCGCCCCTATAATATTGTTCACTATTGAAAAACAAAGATAAAAAACATTTAAGTCCCTTATAATAACAGAGATCAAAAAATTATGCCCATTAGTATGGCTTGACGAAATACAAAGAACTGCTTGTCATTTAACTATTAATTACAATTGTAATTATAAAGTTAAATTAATTATACAGCATACAAATACAATTAAATTTTACATAGTTTACATATATAATTACCATTTTCAATTATATATACATATATAAAATACAAAAGATTTAAAAAAAATCAAATCAAATGGCACTTGTCCGTTAATTGTTAATGAACAATTGTAATTAAAATCCTCGTTATTTTTTCTCTTATTATTAATTTATATAAATACTCTTTCATTTATCTCAGATTTAAATAAACTAACAATAAATCGATTTCTTTTTTTCAGTATTACATCAATTGGATTTCAAAATAAACAGTAAGTTCTAATGACCCATTAGACTACAACGAGCTAAAATTTGATCGTCGATTATTAGGTGATGGGGTAATAATGACGTCATCAAGTGACGCGGCAAATACGTGTGAGCTCCAGACTCTACTCTTCTCACATATCAACGACAGGGCGAAGGAATGTGGGGGAAAATGGTGGCGGGGACACAGTTGGCACAGGTCCTGTGAACCCAACATCTGTACCCAGGAGCTCGTCCCCAGGCTCAAATATTCCTTCAAACATGAGCTTTTTTTCCAGCTGATACCATTCAGATCAGGTCGTAACAACAACAGGACCTTAGTTGGTAGTTGGAGAGGTTAGGTGGTACAGGCTAGAGATGGTAATAGCGATAAAGTACGTCCGTCTTCGACTTTAATTTTGGTTATTCCGAAGGAGGATGCTCAGGAAGACCTGAATATTAAAGTTTAGGAACATTTCTATTTTCTCAATGTTTCGGGCCTTGGAATAATTCAATCTTTTGTATGCATGCGATCGATTTCGCGAAGGAGAATTCAAAACCACCGAAATCCTTTAGAAATATCTAAAATAATAAAAATATCTAGTTCATCCAAACCTCGCTAAAAATCAGAAACACAAAGCATCTTGCCTTAATTATATTAATAATATATCATATATATCCAATCCTTACAACCCGAAATCCTTCGCAAAATCCTCAACGCTCCCTACTATGTCAGAAATCAAATTATCTCTAATGACCTTGATGTTCTGTATTACTTACTGACTTACCCCAACTAGACACCTATCCTTCCATGATAAACTTCAAACCCACTTGTTCCTAGCCTTGCATTCTCTTCGAATCCTGACAATCCTCCGAGACGACTGAGAAGAAGATGGCCTAGAGACCTTCTAATATAGAATTATAATACCGATGGGTAGTTTCTCTTCATGTTGTACATGTCATATTACCAACACAAATTTACTAATATTTTTATATCATAAAGTTGTAAATTTCAATAAATAAAGTTTTAAAAAAACTTATAATAATCAAACTAATTAAATACTAAAAGTGCCACCAAGTCAAAAATATTTTTTTTTTTTATAGAAATATTTTATAAATTGACTGGAGGTTCACTCGATAAAGCTGACAATATAAAAAAAAACCTGTACCACTACAACCCATGAAGGGTCTGGGGTTCAGTACTATTTAGGGAAAGCACTGTTTCTAGGTCAACGGTTGTGCAAGGAGGTGATTTGACCGAGATCACGCTCAACCGCCAGGTTTTCCCCCTTAAAGCTGACAATATGGAGAATATTATTTTTTTTCTGAAAATAAATACATTACTATAGGAGTTTTAATTAACATTTATATTTTATAGAGTTTTAATTAATTTATATATAAGTTCATCTAAGGATTAAAGAGTATGCTGTGTATATAGCAACCTAATATAATTGGGCAGCAATCTTTTATATTTTAATGAAAATAAAGTGTTTCTCTCTCTCTCTCCACTTTCCATTTACCTAAAGTCAATGTTTGGTTCATAACCGATTAGATAGAATTGCCCATTGAGGGTAAAAATTTGCCTTATAATGAATGAAAGTGATTTGAATTCAGTTTCCTTAGGATTTAAAACATTTTAAAACCTGTAACCCCTTGATTGTTCGATTACTTTAAAGAGAAACTGTAAATTTAGCAAATAAAAACACGTCAATAGTCTATATCGAATATATATATATATATAATATATAATATAATATATATATATATATATATATATATATATATAAAAATATATATATATATATATATATATATATATATATATTATCCATGAGTATCGTATCATAATTATATATATTCCTTATATTTTACTTGTTATAAAATTTGCTGAAACTGCATTCATCATTAGTACTTCTGTCTCAACAATTGCTGAGTAGATAAAAGTATAAATATTATGATGCATTCGAAATTTATCATTTATTATAGGTAAATGTATCATAAAACAATTAATTATAACTAAATAAAGATTATATCAATAAGATAGTTGAACAGGTGCTTGGAGCGTTAATGTTAAACGACCAGACCGTTATAGCGGGACGGTCGGGCTCACAAGCAATCGGTTTATCTACTACTTAAATAATGACAACATTTAGCAATTTGAAAGCAATTTAACTCTTTGCCTTGTCTTATTCCAATACAAGCCTATAAATTAGCTACACCTAGGTGTAATAGGATAAAAATGTTTTTTTTTTTTCTAAATAATGGAAATTTGCAACTTGACAGCTGTGCGGAAAGTTATTAATGTTTATGTTTTAGAAAGCATTTAAAAAATTTATAGACGTATCGAAAAGTATATTTTCGACGTTTTGGAGGTAAACCTATGGCTTTCTGTCTTAAGGTATTATTCAATAAACTCCATCTGCCCTTGTTAAACAGCTCCTTCACCAATGATTCCTCTTGTACGAATATTACTTCGAATCCAAAATGCTGGATCCTCTTCATATTGTCATAACATTGCCCGCACCGTGATTCCTGATAATGAGTAATCCAAGGTGTCTGAAAAGTAAATGGCCTTGGGATCATCAAATCGAAAATTATTATTATTATAATTTTTTTTATTATTTATTATTTTTTAGCCTTTTTTTCGTTTTGCCAGTCTCCCTCTCGTAGAGCTCTGGTAGCCATGCCCCTCTGCATATCCTGCAACCATTTCTTCCTTGGTCGTCTTATTTTTCGCCTTTCTACAGATTGATAGAGAAAAGTTAATTTTGGGCATCGGTCCTCCATCATTCTCTGTAAATGGCGATACCATTTTAGTCTCTTTGTTTCTAAGCTGTAGAGCATAGTAGTTTCCTCCTGAACATTCCGCAATGTTAGAATTATTATTAAAGTGCTATTAATAGTTAGTTTTTCAAAGAACCATTATTCTTGTTTTCTGTTAACATTTATTTATGGTATTTAACTTTCAAAACAGTTGTGGACTTCAATAAATATGATAAAAGACAAGAAAATGATGTTTAATATTTAAAAAATAAGTAGCAGCGCTGAAAATAAAAGAGAAATAAACTTTTGAACAATGAAACCGGTCAACTACACACTCTCCCCCACACGAAAAAATATTTAAAACCATAAAATATGGCCATTTTCTGTCATTATAGAGATACAAGATAGTCATGATATATCTTGTAATTGTCGAAAGAAATTTGTGCTTCTTTGAAATTGTGGCTTCATTTTTTTTTTTTTTTTTTTTTTATTAAATGAATAGCTTTTCGTATAAATAGCGAGCCTTGAGATTGATTTCGAACGATTTTATAGAGCTATAAAAGAGTTGTTCTATAACCTGTTTTCACTAGCACGTCGAAGCTTTTCGATGCTACTGGGTTGTAACATACCGATTTTTTCGTTATTTTTTTTATTTCAGCATATACGATTTTTTAATAATTCTTTTCTCCAAATTACAACGTTGACCAAAGTAGACTGCGCATTTATTTCTTATAAGGACTATCTCTCCATTGTCCTACTAACTAAATCAGTAAATCGCTTAAATTTTCTTAAATATATCGATAAAGATTACAAATAATCAACAACTGCCATATAATTCAAAAAATATTCTTAGCAATGTTCATGATTCGTAATCATGATTCCAACGGAACTGATAACGCGATAGTCACAACTAAACATCCAAGGAGTATAATTTTAAGCCCCTTAAACACTATCGAATCTCATTCCCAAGCTTCAAGACATTAGCGATTTGCCAGGCCCAGGAGATATTCCTAAGAGATGGCCACCATACCGTCCATCCCAAGCTATACGCCAATCAGACAATTCCACTTCCACTTACATACCCCGAAGAGCTCTTTAAGGCAATGAACGGTGCTCGGTGCCGTGTAGGCCAGTCCCAATGAATAAATTTACTTCATTCCGTTAGGTCCGGGGTTCGATCCCGGGCAGCCTATCAACAAGCGATCATCGCGTCGCTGACGGCTTCCTTCGGCCTAATACGACATCCGAGCGGATCTATCATATCCGTCGGGTATCGCTGCATCACGCGGAAAGTTTGACAGCGAGCAATTTATATCGGTAATGAGCTGTCGTGGAAGAGCTATTTCGCAAACCTTAATTAAATCCTTAAGTTATTCTGCTGCAACGGCAGGCTAATAACGAACTTAAAACATGTACCTAATAAATACTCGGAAGCGTTAGGCGTTTGTAAGAGCGGATCTATGCAGTTGCCAATTACACAAACCATTGCCAAGGTATTTCTTTCCCGGCTAAAATAATGCAGTAAGGCTAAAAACGGCTTGCAACAAACTATGCGGGGAACTATTCTTAAAAAAAATTCCATTCTGGTTTATCTAACTTATACAAAAGAGCAAAAAAAACAAAAAAAAAAAAACATGAACAGTAAAGCTTCGGCACTAAAGTCGTATATCCCTTTCAATTTTAATTAAATAAACTAATAAAAAAATATTTAATTACTTCATTAATTCTTAACTGAGGAAAATCAGTTTAATGGCAATAATGCTAATTAATTTCTTTTTTATGTTTTATTTTGAAACAATTTTAATTTGTTTCCGAATTTAACGTATCGAAATTTCAAAACCCCCAAAACACACTGTTCTGACATCAATTCAATTTACAAAGAAAATATGAAATCTCTAATTTAATTTGGTACGCAAAATGTAGTGGTACGCAAACTTCTGAAAACCGAGAAAACCTCCACGGTTAAAATTATCAATAATTACCGAAACTTTTAGGGTATGGTCAAGGTTGTTATGCATAATCCTTCTTTCAATCCACTTGACAATTCCGTCAAAAAGGAATACTTCTATGAAACTTTCTGAAAAGTTACTCCTTTCAACCAATTCGGTTTCAGATCCAATTCTTTGAAACAAAAACCTTATTGTAAATCGAAACAGTTTATTTATTCGATGCTCACTCGATACTTTAACGCGCATTCTTAACAATATTAAAGAGAAGAAGTATAAGAATTTCTAGCCCATGACTTTATAACAATCATACCGAATTTCAGCTTATTTGATTCATAAGGTGACGTAGGAGATACTGAAATATAACGATAGAAAAATAAATATATAAATTAGACATTGCCAAAACTGTGATAAACTGAGTTATTAAGAGTTCTACACTGAATCACGCAACTACAACTAGCCACTTTAAGGATAATGGGCAATCACGTGAATCTATGAAACGATTTTTTTAAGAGAGCACATAGTCTCAAATTATTCAGTGAGAATTTGAATATTTTGAATCAATTTGAAATTAAAATGAATAAAAAATACTTCCTCATTCCCCGGATATTCTCCGGAAATATATGATTAATGATATAAAAAAGAATAAATCAAGAGGCGTTGATTACGTTAAACACAAAGAAACCCCAAGAAAAATAAATGATTTCATATAAGATACGATTCAGATACATAACTTATTTGTCAAGGGGCGGTCACCCAGAAGTCATCCACTATGAACAGATGCCGCCGTGTGACGATGGTTTTTGAACCGTAAAGTACACTCGCTTAGTCACGGTAATGATGCATCTAATGGCACCCGTTTTGTACAAGACTACAACCATTATAATATATCCAGAAGATAAATTGTGGGAATTAATCATGAGTACTGTTACAATATATTCAATATTGTCACTGTACTAATTTCCAATATGTTTTTATGTTCTGCATATCATTATATTCAGTTCAAAAGTCATCCTTTTAAACGAAGGAAGCCATTAACTGGTCACCTCGCTCGGTTTATCTCTAAAAGTTCGACATGGGCAACTTTAATTTACGAAAAGCCATAAGCTCCAGGCATAGCTGTAAAACAAATAAATTGATCACAAATTTTCGTACGATTACAATGAGAGAGGTTTTATAAAAAATGTTAGCATTCTAACCAAAAAATGTAGTATAAGAGAACTTCTAGATGGAACGGAAGGCACGGTTTCCGAACATCTGACATTTTCAAAACCTGGCTAAATGTAGTCAAATTGTTTAAATACATCGCGATGACCCCTATATGTACCGGTACTGGGCTACCTAGAGGTCACCGCCGTGTACTAACCAGAATGGAAGTGTCAAGATTCATTTCTCAGGACCAACGAGAAACAAATATTAATTAACCCCTACAATCAACCGAACCTTAGCCTAAACGTGTTCTACCATCACGTATTCACCTATGACCCTTGAGGTGGAACCGAAAAGTAAATAAATATATTATTATAGCAAGTAAAGATTTTTTTTTAATAATATGGCTTTAAAGAATTATGCAATATTACATGCAATTTTTAATATTTGTGATTTTAGATTAAACAAAAATTTTATGACAACACTATATCTAAGAAAAACAGACAAAAAAATTGTCATTTTTCTCATAAATTTAATTTTTGAAAAATCGATCAAGTAGGAAAATATAAGCTAATAGCTTTAATAACTCTAAATAAAACAAAACACCGAATTTCCATTTAGTAAAATGTACCAGTAAATAGAAATAAATTATTCGGTAAATCAAAATAAAATACACTACCTGATCACCTACAGTCATTAGGCCCCATACCAAAATTATGATTAGAATGTTAAAGCTTTCGAAAACTTTAATATGGGCTGAAATAATTTCTGGACATATGGATGTTCAATAGAAACATGGATGGAACAATTCCGTGCTTTATTTTTTATGGAATTCTGTAATAGAAGTTACATATACAAAGAGATGATATATACAATCATTATTGTTTAGTTATAAACTGTTCTATTACATATAACAGAAATATTAAAACCTGTACCACTACAACCCATGAAGGGTCTTGGGTTCAGCACTATTTAGGAAAAGTATTGCTTCAAGGCCAACAGTTGTGCAAGGAGGGGATCAGGCCAGGATCAAGCTCTACTGCCAGGTTTTCTCCCTTAATCAATTATTTAATTGAGGGCACCCACTTCGTAGAGGCAGGCTGTGCCTCAGGAGGGTCTCCCTGCCCCAGGGTCGCCCCACTACGAATGAAACAGAATAAATAAATCTGCCTTGATAAACGGGTTTGGAACTGTGGACCTTCAGCATTGGAAGCTTAGTGCCCTACCACTGAGCTAACCCGCTCCCTTTAATAGAAATATTAGAACTGTGAAATTTTAGAATACGTTAAGTTCATGTGAAATAAGTAATAGAGAAAAAATTAAACACTATGCTTAGTCGAGTAATTTAATTGATGATAAAATGAATAAAGGAACGAATTGTAAAAAAAAACAATACTCGCAAAATAATCATCCGACTAGGACTAGCCACTCAAATTATTCAGTGAGAATTCGAATAGTCTGAATCTGATTCTCAGTTTTGTTGTTCTAAAAGTCCTTTTGGATTTTTTTTTTTTTTAGTTGTAACTTTTCTAAAATGCTTGATTGACTGCAATCATTAAAATGATTACGAACAAGGTCAAAGTTCAACTTCATAAATTATGATAATAAGGAGGCTTTTTAAAAGATATTATGACTATTTTTTGCATGGTCCAATTTTTCAATTTAAATAAATAAACAATTCAATGGCTAAGCAGTGATACCTATTTTACAGGGAAAAAAAAAATATCAGTATTCATAGTTATTTGGCAATGATTACTTCCAATTAGCAAAAATTGAATATATTTGTTGTATTATCAAAATTACATGTTTACAAGTTTACGTTTCAGGATATTTACTCCCATCTTCAGAACCACAGTCCCAATGATCTTGTGGATACAAGGCTTAAAAATAATGTGCTCCATCAGTTTCGAATTCATGTTATAATAATTAACTAATAATATCCTACAACTTCCCAGAAAAAAAGAAGATCAGTATTCATGTTTTGAGATCTATAGTAGCATAAAAGAATTTGTCATCGACTAAGTATAGTTCATACTTTTTTTTTTTTTTTTTCTCCAGTGTTGTTTCAATGGATAACCTACAATATGGATTAACAAATATGAATTCTCCATATTCCACACTAGACGCAATAAAATTCACTATTAGCTGATCCGTCCTTTTCCAAGGAGACCGATGGCATGTTTATATATACGTGTAATGATATATATTATATTTCCTTGTGGTATCGACCTTAGTCAGCGAACTGTGCATAAGAAAACCGGTAACCCCCGGGCGATGTGCCTGGCGGTGGGATAGCACACCGTGGGACCAGCGAGAGTGCAGCTCCTTGGATTCCATAGCTTTGGCGGGACCCAGCAGGGAACGGTACATAGGAGGTCTCGATAAAAAGTCACAACCACACAAAAAACAATCTCACTCCTAACAGTCCGCCCTTATTTTTTATTTTTTTTTTCGGCGGACAACATATGCGGCTGCTAGTAAGTGGGATGAGTAGAACACGTCTTAAATAGCCTACTTACTGCCTGGGAGCGCTCGGAGGGGGGTCCGTTTAGGATAAAAGGAAATGAAACTCGACTACTGGAAACGATGGACGATTTCCTTTTTCTTCAAGATATCCTTATAGCAGTCATTAAAAAGTCATGCTTTCCCTAGTATGATATCAACTGATAGCCAGATCATGGTGCATAAGGTCTGATATCAACAAGCCATAAACATATTCTTTTCTTGCAACATATCGTTCATCCTGTGGAACAACAAGGCAACGGTAAAACATGGGAATTTTTTTATAAGAGGTTTTAAATCGACAATACGTCATATTATAATAAAATCAAACTTTGAATTATGATTTTATGAAAAGTAATTTAAGGCATTATTCATGAATTTGAAGTTAGTAGTGCAATTTATTTTTTAATTCTTCCCTACTTCAAAGATAGTTTAGTTTTACTTGTCAATTCGTAGTGTTAAAAATGAAACAATAAATAATTATTGTTTACAAAATTAATTAGTAAGTACATACTTATACTCCCGCAGACGTCATTTGGGTTATTATCTGATTATGTCATGTTCGTTAACGTCTTAAATTAATAAAATCTTCGTTTATCTTATTAAAAAACCAATGACCAGTTCTCGAATAATAAATGATTATTAACACAATTTGAGATCCTTAAGCATTTATACACAAATGCTAATTATGTGAAAAAGTAGAGGGCTGATTTAGTCGAAATCATGTCTTACAAGAAAAGACATTACGGTCCTGGAGTCATCGATTTCAATAACTTTTTTTCTTTTGGTGAGACTAGGTCGAAATATATTTGACGTATGTCCGAGAAATCTTCTTAATGGACCCTAGTAGTCGAGAAAAAAAAAAAAATTTATATCATTGTTTTCTGCAAGGATTTCTAAGTTTTAATGAACCAATCCATTTGTTTTATTGTATAAAATATGTTTTTGATTTCTGATATACACATCCGAACCCATTAAATATTTTTATTGGGGACAAGAAAATTGATGTTCGTTTTTAGCACCTAGAATAACTATTTTTTTTTTGCTATAAAAAATTTTATTTGCCCCAGTCAACTTTTGTTAACAATCATTAGTTGAAAGGAGTGATTTTTCAGAAAGTTTAATAAAAGTATTCCTTTTTGACGAAATGGTCATGTGGAGTGAAAGAAGGAATATGCATAACATCCTTAACCATACCATAAAAGTGTCAGTAATTATTAATACAAATTGATAATTTTATATATTTACATGTTTGCAAGACCGAGGAGGTTTTTTCGGTTTTCAAAGTTTTACGTGCCACTAGATTTTTCTTACCAAAATTAAATTAGAGGGTTCATATTTTCTTTGTTAATTGATTTAGTGTCAGAAAAGTGTCTTTTGGGAGTTTCAAAATTTCGATACGTTAAATTCGGTAACAAATTAAAATTGTTCCAAAATAAAACATGAAAGAAATTAATCATGTCTTATTAAATCTATTAATTATGCCTATTGACATTAAACTCTAATTTTCATCAGTCAAGCATCAATAAAATAACTTTTTATTAGTTTATTTAATTAAAATTGAGAGGAATATACGACTTTAGTGGTGGAGCTTTACTGTTCATGTTTTTTGTCTTGTTTTTTTTTGCTCTTTTGTATAAGTTAGATGAACCACAATGGATTTTTTATTTACTATAAAAAATTTTATTTGCCCCAGTCAACTTTTGTTAACAATCAGCAAATATGCTGGAAATATAAGATATAAATGGTATGTCAGCCATGGGGAAGGAAAGTACTCAACAGCATCTCTTTCCCGACTTGTTTAAATTACTTAGGTTGTTTAAGAAAGGAGATCTCTCATCCAACGCTTTCGGGAAAATCTTAAATAAGTATTTTCATTTCAATCGAAAAATGAATTTTTTTTTCTCAATAGTTCGACTTCTATTAAAAATTCATAAGAGAACTATATCTGCTAATAGCTTGGTTGTACACATCCAAAACAACAATAATAAAATCAACAATATATTTTTCTTATCAAACACACACAAAAAAAGTATTGATATATTATAACCTAGAAATATATTTAAAACAAAGAGAGAAAACAATAACATAAAAAAAAAAGTTAAAATCTTCTCAAATATTCTGTTTATCGGCAAAAACATGGGCTTGATATGGGTAACATATTTTTCGACCTAGGATCACCAAAAAATGGTTTTTTGAAATGTAGTCCACCTATTCCTATGTCATCTCCACATTCGTAACTTTTTCAGCAGAATACAACCTAATGGGAATTGTTTGTTATATGTATAATAATAATTCAAACTATTTTTCTTTTCCTGGATGTGCAATTTATCCCATATGCGTGTGCGAGTTTATTTAATTATGTAAGTGACCTTCGTTATAAAAAAAAAATCATTATTTACTATCATTTTTATACATAATATTTATTTTTAAATATTGTTTCCCCACAAACGAATTTCGTAAAACTTTATATAACCATAATATGGTTTAAAAATGTCGAGGAAAGCCCGCATTCTTAAGTTTTTTAATGAGAGTTTTGCATTTATTGCATTCGCTGTATTTATCCCTTCTCAAATCTTATGTTCTTAATATGTCCAAGTTTTAACCTTGAAACATCTGATTAATGTGTAATATCAAGTTGCTTAAGGATAGAAGTGTTTCTATTTTTTTGTCTATACTGAGAATGATTGGGAGATTTTTGTTGGGGAGTTCGTCTTTGTAGTGATTAAACTCCGTTTTCTATTACGTTTTGTGCGCTTCTTAAATATTACCGTAATGTAAAGTTAATTTTAAAACACCATACAATAAACACCAAAGCAAAAATTATAGATTTTTTTCTTTAAAGCCTATACTTTCATTTCTAGACCAAGCTCAGTTATTTCGGGAAGCCTGTGCTCGCCGAGCTACATGCTCCGCTTGGTACAAGCGAGTAAATAGCTGTAAAATTGCTTTGTTTTGCTTATGGCCAGAAAAAACGTTTTGTGGAATTAAAGGAAGTCGTTAGAGCCTAGAAATGGAATCTTGACGATGTTCAAAAACAAAATTAAGGAAATGAAAAACAAGAGAAAAATACAGAAAAGTAATTTAAGGCATTATTTATGAATTTGAAGTTAGGAATGCAATTTATTTTTTAATTCTACCCTATTTCAAAGCTAGTTTACTTTTTTAATTCGTAGTGTATGTGTGAATGTTATCCTACCTCACTATAACCAATGTCCAAGAGACAGATTGTAGTAATACTCAATAAATAAATTTTAAAAAAATCGTAGTGTTAAAAATGAAACAATAAATAATTATTGTTTACAAAATTAATTAGTAAGTACATACATATACTCCAGCAGACATCATTTGGGTTATTATCTGGGTTAAATTAATAAAATCATCATTTCTCTTATTAAGAAACCAATGAACAGGACTCGAATAATAAATGATAAAAATGCAATAAATTAATGTTATTATTGAATATAATTTATTTATAAAACATTATAAATATAATGTTGTATTGAATGTATTATCACAGCAATTTATGGATACACAAATAAATTATTGGCATTTACGTAAAAAAAAAAAAATGAAATTATTTCTTTTTTTGTTTGAATGCTGTCATGAAGTTAGCCATTTTTGTTATATTTATAATGTTGATCTAAGAGTAAAATTGTTTTGGTACAATTTCTTTTTAATTTTTACTTAATTAATTTATTTATAAAATTCTATTTTAATCAAACAATTACCTGATGATAAACATATGTTAATACGATATAATGATTTTTTTTTGGTATTTTTGTTTCTTATTTAAACAACTGAGATTTGACATTTGCCTAGTCTTGCAATGAGGAGATCAATAATATATTTGTTTTTAAATGCCGTCTAAATATTACCCATAGTGATTAATACTTATGAACTCATCCTTTAAATGATATTTAATAGTAAAAACATCAATAACAACTCGACAACAGTATCTTATACTTATTCCTCTTACGTGGTAACGCTGTTCAAATGATAATTACTCCATAGGTATTACTGTAAATAAAAAGCCTATAATTCACAATTTAGATTTTTAATCATATTGAATTGCACAATATGAAAATAAAAAAAAAACTTAATAAAAAGAAATAGTCCATGGTACAACTCACTTTTCATCAAATTATTAAAATCCGCCTGAATATTAATAAGCTTTGTAAATAGCATCACATCGTAACCTACAAATATTTTATTTACGAAAATTCTCAGAAATGCGCGTTTTCAATCAGGAGGGGGGAAACTTTGTCTTTTAATTAGGTACTAAAAACTCATAAATACCCATTTGTTTTTCATTTGATAATTTGATCACAAAATCGAGATAAAAGGTGGCCTTCAAAACTATTGAGCCGTTTGGCATGACCTAAACCCCCAAATTGTCAGAATAACGAGGTTATGTAGTCCAAACGGCCTAATATCTATCGATTTTTGTAAAAATTAAAATTCCAAAACTAGATTAAATGTAAAAAAAAAATTTTCAACATGCGTTTCAGTATACTATAAACAGGAATTTATACAAATACGTTTATAATTAAAACTTATGAGTTAAAGAGAAATAGAGAGCTAACACACGTAGACTAAATTGTTATAATCATAATGAATTTTTTATTGTAAAATATTTAAAAATAACGGTCTAAATTTAGCATAATATTATATAATTCGCATTTTTGTTCTAGATAAGGGTCCTAAAAGATCTTCGAGTTTCCTTCAGACAAACAAAATAAAAGTAAGTAATTTACTATCATATTCACATTTATATTATTATAATATTATATTATATTTGAATTGTTTTAAAATACGAATTAACAACAACATTGCAACAGCCTGTTCAAAATATTGAATGTTTTCATAAGAAGAATTTATGAACTAAATTTTTTGTTGAATTTTAAAAGTATACTTTAA